TATATATATAGATACATATATATATATATATATATATATCTATATATATATATATATATATATATATCCACATCCACGGCCCGCTGGGGCACCAGGACGTCGGTGCCCAGGCGGCGGATCTGGATGAGGTCCCCGCCTCGCAGCCCTGGCGCCTCGACAGAGATGATCCTCGGCGGCCCTTCCCTCAGCCCCACCGGGGCGGGCCCCTGCTTGCCCACCCGGGGGCGGCGGCCCCCGGGGCCGTCGAGGCAGGGCCCGGAGGGGGAAGGGGGCCCGGGGAAGGGTGCGTGGGGCGTGGGGGGGGGGCTCGGCATCGCTCGGACGTGCGCATTTTTCCTTCGACGAGGACCATCGAGGAGCATCCTTGATCATTTGGCGAAAAACTACGCACGAAACCGAAAAAAGCGTAGGGAATGGACGTCCGAGCGATGGCGAGGGGGGCGATGGTCGGCGGCGGGCGAGCGGCACGAGGTGCGAGGCTTGCGGGCGTTTCCGTGGGCTCTCGGCGGTGTGCCAGCCTCGGGGTGCGCGCCAGCGGCTGCGCCTCGCCGAGGGCGTTCCCGAGGGTGCCAGGGATCGTCCCGAACGGCCGGCGGAGACCCGAGCTGTGATCCAACCAAAATTCAAATCCGGCGGAGCGTACGGGGGAGGGGCAGCGAGAAGGAGGAGGTCTTCTGAGAAGGCGGCGGGGCTTCTCAGAAGCCCTCGCGCCTTTTGAGAGGTTTTTCCGGTGTCCTCGGGGAAGGCTCGGATAACTTCTCAGCAGGCCGGGGGACTTCTGAGTCTTCTGAGAAGACCTTCTCCTTCTCATTCCCCCCCTCGCTCGCCGCCGAAATTCGAGTGGGGGATCGACTGCAGAATTGCTTCGCCCCAGAATTGATTTCTTCGTCGTCCAGTCCCCTGAAAATGCTTGCTTAATCGTCGTAGATATACGAACATATTCTACGTCTGTTTTGTTGGTCCGACGCCAGAGCAAGTCTGGGGCAATTCAATTCTGCAGCCGATCCCCTGCTCGAGAATTCGAGGCCCTCGCCAGGCCTCGGGACCGTCGGATGACGACGGGGGACCGAGGAGCCAGCCCCCTGGCAGGTGGTCGAGAGGTGGGGGGCACACGTCTTGAAATGGATCGAGGTGGAGGAGGAGGAGGGGGAGGAGGAGGGGGGGGAGGGGGAGGAGGAGGGGGAGGAGGAGGGGGAGACGGCGGAGGCAGGAGGAGGAGGAGGGAGGAGGAGGAGGAGGAGGAGGAGGGAGGTAGGAGGAGGAGGAGGAGGAGGCGGAGGCGGGCGTCTGGGACGCCAGCCCTGGAGCTCTCCAGAGGTCCCGTCGGGGGGCCCCGTGGAGGCCTCCGGAGAGGCCCACCAGGGCCAGGCCAGAGGCCGCCCGAGGCCTGGACCTTCGAGCCTGGAGCCCTCGGCCGTCGTCGTCATCGTCGTCGTCGTCGCCGCCGCCGTCGCCGTCGTCGTCGTCGCCGTCGTCGTCGTCGTCGTCGTCGTCGTCGTCGTCGTCGTGGTCGTCGTCGTCGTCGCCGTGGTCGTCGTCGTCGTCGTCGTCGTCGTCGTCGTCGTCGTCGTGGTCGTCGTCGTCGTGGTCGTCGTCGAGGGGCCGTTCCTCAGTTTGCTCCACCTCATCCTCCCTCTGTCCCTCCTCCCGCTCCCCACCAGAGTTCACGAATACAGGGGAAGCCTCCTCCTCCTCCTCCTCCTCCTCCTCCTCC